GTCGCCGCGTAGGGGTCCCAGGGAGCAGGCTACGCTGGCCTGGAAACGATCAAGTAGTTGAGTTTTTTTCAGAGAAAGCAAACAAACAAACAAACAAAAAAACCCTGTCCACCATGTGACGTGGCCAACGAATCTCTCAGGCCTGCAGCGAGTCCAGGGATGGATGCAAAAGGTGGTTAATAAGAAGAGGTGATCAGTACCCTAGTGCTCCATGGGGTGAGGCTATTATTTGTTTATAGCCCTGCCCTCCAGCGATTCTTATCTCAGTGTCACTAACTACCGGTTATATCAGTATTATCAACGTAAGGTGAACTGAGAAACAACAAACAGCCTAGAGGATCCCAGCGCACAGCGCTTGGCCCAGCCTTGGACTGGATGGGCCCAAACCCTGACCTTGGGCAGGTGGTTACTGCACTTCCGGGACTGGTTTTAAAGCTATGACCTTGACAGAGCCTCAAGGACAGTCTCTCCTGGGGCAAGGCGTCCAAGGGGCAGTCCTGAGCCTCTTGGTCTCAAGCTGTTGCTTATTTCTTTAGCTACACATGTGCTTCACACTCCTGGTTCTTCTGTCACTAGAATGCTATAAGTTAGTTTTCCTCCTCCCTCCAGCAGAAAGAAGAGGGAGAGAGGTTCCTAGGTACAGGGGTAGGTGGGGAGAAAGGGAATGGGTGTGGGTTAGATGGTTCCTGATCCAACCACAGACAGCAGGGCTATATTACCAGCAGGACTGGTGGGATGAAGTGACCCCGGGGTCCATGTCAGATGGCTTTAGCCAGAAATGTTCACAGTAACCAGTGGAGGAGAGTTCGGTGGTTCCCGGCGCACGGGGATGATAAGTGTTTAAGGGGAGGCAATGCTGCTACCCAACGTGATCTCTAACCATGGTACATGTGTCTGAATTACAGCTGTGTACTGGTTGGCTAGCACAGGTACTAACGTCAGCTTGGAGAAGTCAGGCCTCCCCAGTTGCTGCACAGTGCCAGGTGTCCTGGTGCAGCCCGAGCCTGTGATTCTGTCACCCTGGAAAGCATGGATAGCTCCACTGGGGTGAAGTTGTTATTTATCCTTCCTAAAGTGGAAGCCTTTCCCTCATGTCCAAAAGTATCCCAAGTCTGAGACACCGGGTAGTGTGAGACAATAGTTTGAGCCTCACATCTGTCTGTGGTTTCTCTTTACTGCCATTAAGAATATGAATGAATGATTTTTTTTTTTTTTTTTTTTGGTGGTACTAGGGGTTGAACCCAGGGCCTTTGCATTGAGCTACATCTCCAGCCCTTTCTTTCTGTTAAAGCAGGGTCTGGTTCAGTCGCTAAATGGCCTAGATTCTCCTGCCATAGCCTGCTACAGTCCTGGTATTATGGGTGTATGCTATCAGGCCTATTTAATAATAATTATTATTTTTTAAATTGGTGCTAAACTTCGTAGGAAGTATTTCAGGATGATTTAGTGGCCCTGTGGGTACTGCCTGGCCCTGTTCATACCCTGCTTCCTGGCACCTATCATATTGGCCCTCTGGATCTGGTTGTATTAAACCATGCATTGAGAATCATTTCCCAAGTGATGAATAGTTGGACACGGCCTCCTGTGGGACAGTATTCCGTTTTCAAAGCGTTTACCATTTGACCAATTAGATCATGTCTCGGTGTATTGCCTTCTTGGAGAATAATGGTGTGTACGTTAAAGTTCTGGAAAGTTCTAATGTGAATGAACTTGTCTCAAATCTTTGAACCATCCCCATTTCTCAGGACACTATTGACACCTCAGTGAAACTGGACGGAGGAGATTTGTGGATGTCAGCTTGGGAAGCAGTGCGTGGGGTGATTTCTGCCGTGTGGATATTAAGTGAACCTTTTTTCTTTTTACCTTTTGACTGTAAATCATTAGACAAACTCTTATTTAACTCGTTGAAAGGTAAAATTAATGGAATGTGTTTAAAATTGAATGTTTTTAAGTGCCTTAATTAATTAACTCCTAGGCCCCAGAACTTTAGTGGGTACTGCAGTCTTTGAATTAACTGTAAAGCCAGAAGAAGGAAATTAGACCTATCCAGAGGGGACCAGAGACCTAGCCCTGCACATCAGTGTTCCTTGGATATCTTGGCTATTTTTGTTTGTTTTGTTGCATTAATAACTTGAAAGTTCCTTGTTTTAGATTTTAAATTTCTCTTAAAGGATAGGGAAAAGCCATGCTTTCCATAATTTGTATTTTTGCTACTGTAGGGTAGATGTAGATGACTGACTTACAAAACCAGGGCTGTGGATGATTCAGGTTCTTTTACTTGGAACGAGAATGAATCATACAGTTCTTCAGTTTGCTTATGATGAAATTATTGGGGTTTTTTTAGTACATCATTTGAATAGTAGGTGAAATAGGCCACTGAATACATTTGAACTTACTAAAACTTCCTGTGAATAAGTTCCGGTAGCGTGGTTATTTTTAAGTTGGCCCGTATTGAAGAACTTGAGTCAATATGTGAGGACAAGATGACTATCGTGAAAAAAAAAAAAAAAAAAAAAAAAAAGATGACTATCGTGGAACATAGAAGGACTAGATTGGAGATTTAGTCCTTGAAACGGCCACCTAGTTTTCTAAAAGAAGTGCTGTGAAACAGAAATGTTATGGTCTGTATAGAAAAGGATAGATGTGTATTGGAGCTGATTTTTAGACTTCTTTAAATTTCTTAATTTTATCAGAAGCATCAAACAAAGCTAGCTTTACTCATTTTTAACCAGTAAACACATAAACACACGTAAAGGGCTTTAGTGATAGTTTGTAATAGTGTATTGACTCTTGGTTTAAGTGTAACTGTTTAGCATATAAACATACTATCAGGTACAGGTTTCATGCTGCATTCAATTTTCTCACTTGCTGTTGCAGATAATAAATTTTCAGCCGCATGAGAGAAAGAACTGATAGATAACTTACAAAACGACTGCATAAAATCCGATTGGGGACCAATTGGAAGGGAAGTTTTGACTTTGGCAATGCCTTGTGCGTGCAGCTGGGGCTCATCGGATGCCTTGTGATTTTTGACAGTAGGGAAGTACCGAGACAGAGAGACACGTCCACTACAACTGTTTGTCTCACCTGTCTCCTAATAAATACTCCAGTAAGGTCATAGTAGGTGAGTGTGAGAAAGGGTGATCTGGAAACATCAAAAGTAGGAGACATCAGAGCTGGAGATTTCAAAATATTTTATGAAAGATTTTTTACAGGAGGGAAGTGCGGTGAGGAGGGAGTGGGCAGGTGGAGTCCCTGCTTCCATGGGTGCCTCGGGATGGTGTCACTCAGGAGGAGGCACGGGGTGCGCTGGGTCCTCCTGCAAACTTAGGAAGTGTTGGAGAGAAGTAGGACAGGTGGGCAGCCCTGGAGCAGGGCCCCCCACAGCCCATCACCTTCTTCTTTGAAACCCTTGTTTTCCTCCTCTTTGCCTCTGGACCAACATTTCTCTGGGTTCGCTTATTTTCATGGGGACCCTCTCGGGCACGGAACTCTTTAAGTGTGGAAATGCCCCTGTCGTTCTCGGCCCCCTTCTCTACTGTCTCTGGGACAGGGCTCGGTGCACCTTCTTACAAAGGGACCAGCTAGGATGTAGTGTAGGTTTTGCAAACCATGAAGTCTCTGTCACCACCGCTGAGCGCTGCCTCTTAGCACCCAGCTATGGGCGGTAAGTGTAAACCGTCACACAAGGCTTTGTTTACAGAAGTGACAGCAGGACACGGGCTGGATGGGTCCACTGACCCGAGTTTGCTGGTCAGTGCTGTTGCTGTAGGTGGTTCCTTAAGCTCCTCACTTCGGGTACCAGCTGGGTTTCCCAGGTGTGCACAGTTAGCCTCACTCTCTTCTTGACCTTGACGTTCACAGGTCCAGCTTGCTGCTCCATTTCTACTTAACTAAGAGGCATCTCCAGATTCATGCATATAAAACAGAGACCCACTTCTCCAGCCCCTGGAGAGGT